TGAGCTATTCTGCGTCCATATGTAGGACCGTCCAGCAGCTAGGGAGCAAACAAGTTAGCCCTTACTTACTTAAGTAGGCGCCTACTTAATTACAAAAGTAAGGGCGGCCCAAAAAGAGGAAACCAGTTGTTTCTCTTTTTGTCTTTTTCGGATCTTCCGACCCTGCAAGCTTGTTCCGACCCATGTTCGGCATTAGAGTTCAGGTGTATGGCGATTTAGACACTGGAGCGCACAATCTCGCGAAGAGCCTCATTCCTACTGGCTCCTCCGAGTCCAACAAATGGGGGCCATTTGAGCAAGCCACTGACGGTTTGTACATGCAAGTACCTCGGATCGCTGCAGTGGGGTCTTCCAGTGGAGGGACTGTCTGCGGTTCCGTTGCATGCCGTGATGTGCAAGAATGGCTCGGCTGACAGTGTTATGAAACATCCTTTGAAGTTTCAAGCTGTTCGCTAATATGATAGATAGATAGATAGATAGATAGATAGATGGGTTGGGTGGTGCGATAGATGGGTTGGGTGGTGCCGAGCCATAGCACATGCAAAGAAATAGAGTGAGGCAATAGATTGTGCATCAGTAGGTACGGTGAATAGACCAACACGGCTAGGGACTCACAACGAAGCTCAGAAAGGGAATGGACCATGCGCAGGCTTTTGAACAAGCAAGCTCTGAGGTTCCTTTATCCCGGTCTTATAACATTTTCGGATGCCTCATTCCAGCAGAGTCACATAGGTAGACCTTTGTTGTTTCAATATTAATTATGTGGGGACCTCAAGTTCTTTGGCGCTGATAGACTCATCCCTGTTCTTGACAGCTCCAGTGAGCTTTTGTGAGGAGCAGAACCAAGTCTAAATATTTGCAACCATTGTTTTGGGATTGACTGAGGCAACCAATGGCTGCTGTAGGCAGACAGGTGTGTGTTTGTTGGGAACTTATCTTGATGCAGAAGAAACACATGCTGTCGAAATCTTTGACGCGCTGAGGTCTGGCATGCAGGAGATGGCGACTACCCCAGCTCTTTGACTTTGAATCTTGGGACCTCTTCCAAGATCGAGAGCATGAAACTCTCCACTCCGCTGCTTGGAAGGAGTAGTTCGAAGGTGTCGGAGGGTGTCGATGCAGCAGGTTAACTGAGGTTGGAGGCACCAGTCACTGGGTGCCCCCATGTTTTTTTTTTCAATTGATCCACAGCTCAAGGCTTTTTGGCAACACTTTTGTAAAGCACCCCAAGTTTGTTGGTTCAAACAATCTAATTTATATACTGATAGAAGACCCCAGGGGAATTAGCAGAACGGCAGAACTTCCAGGAACCACCCAAACCCCTTCTCACGAGGAACTGAGATCGATCTCCATCCTCTCGGACTGCCAGGAAGTTCCTGTGAGACTTGTCAAGCCCCTAGTAGCTCCTTGTTACTAGTAAGAATGCTCCTAGTAGCGATGCCAGGAGCCCCTAGTAGCGTCCTTGCTCCTAGTAGTAAGGCCAGGAGCCCCTAGAATTATGAGTTAAACTCATTCCATCTCATTCCTACCACTGTAGGACAGCTGAACAAGAATGTGAGGCGGACGTGCCCGGTCCACCTGCGAACAGTAGGCATCCTTATGTCCTGCTGAGTAACACGTGAATTTCAGAGAACCCGGTCCTGATTGCTTTGTGTGGCAAAACGTTTCGATACACTTCCAGCGTGCGTCCAGTTTTGCCTGCCCAACCTGAACTGCATGTCGAGGTATCAGGCATCCCAACTACGTATAATCAGGCTCAGCTTTCATCAAAACAAAAAAGGCTCGGCGTCCCTTCCAGCCGAAATGGGGCAAGAGTGCCACGAGTGCCTAAGTACAGCAAACCGAAGCCGACCATCCTTCACAGAAGGACCACCCCGCTGAATCCGTTTTCCTACACACTCACCAGACTTTTTGGCTTTCACCAGGGGCCATGTGAACTATGGCTGGAAGACGATGGAGATCTTTCGCCCCTTGGCGCCAGTGAAGACTTTGGTGCGAGTCGGCGATCCCACGAAGCCAGTCTGACATGTCACATCTGAGCAAAGGAAACGCGCGTAGGAAACTGGCATAGGAAATGTAAGTTTCCCTAAACATCTAGGAGCCAAATGAATAGTGCGAGCGTGAGCTATACTGCGTGCTAACTAGGAGCGTCCTGTACCTAATAGCTACCCTTTTTTGCTTAATTAAGTAGGTAGTCTCTACTTAATAAAGTAGGGAGGGGGGGGGAGAGCGAGCGGGCCAAGAAGGCGTGCCAAAACTCTGCGCCTTCCCGAAGCTCCGAGGATCTGTTGATGGCATTGCCTGGGAGGAGGTACGCACAGAAACCTCCCTGCAGTGCAAGAAAGACCGAGTGACCGAGCATGCTGGATGGCCTGAGAAAACGAAGTTCGTGAAGATCGTCATGAAAGACAGGCGCGAGTGGTGCACGAGGAGGAGGACGGTATTTGTCATCTAGCAGCACGTTCACTGAGGACTTTTGGATGGTTTGGAGAGGAAAGCGGCAGCGACTTCTAAGGACAACTGTAGGACAAAAATAGGAAGAAAGGACACACATAGGAACAATAATAGAAAATGAGGCCCTTGTCATCCCCCGCCCTCCCCGTCAACCTTTCGTCTTGAGGTTTTTCGTTTTATGCTTGCGATCCTTATTGCGCTATGCTTGTTTCTTTTTTTTCGTCTTGCCTGGCTGGTCTTTTGTGTATGTATGTATGTATATATATATATATACGTGGTTCAATTGATTTTCCTTTTTATCAACAATTGTTCCTTACTTGTATTATTTAGTGATCTCCAGATCTCCAATCCGAAGCTTCCATTTGGGTCATTACAATTAAGTCTGATTCTTGCTTTTGATCGGATTTTTGGTCCATTTCAGAGGCTGCCAGGCTTGCGCCGGACAAATGTCGATCTGTCCCGACCAGGTGCGGTGGAGGACACTTTGCCATTAATGATTGGGAAATCTATGGAACACCAATTGGCAAGCCAGCTGCTTGCAAAGGCACAGCGATTCCAGAAAAGGACAACGATCGCATTTTGGCATGCACAGCTGAAGCCACAAAAGTTTGTATATTTTGTTGGGAGTCATGTGTAGCAAGTTCCCTGGAGAAATGGCATGAAAACAGCTCTCATGGGCTCAACTACCGCATGAAACTTGGTCAGTTGAAAGCTGCTTACAGCTACGAGCTGCTAATTGGCTACCATTTCTTCTCGGCAGGGGGGAAGCCAAGAACAACTTCTTTTGTCGCACTTGGTTTTGATTGGACACTCTTTGGTTTGCTCCCCTTGCCGAGCCAACCTGCACCACTCGGCATGCCAGCTGCGCCAAGGATTCCCCTGTGACACCATCAGGGATGAAAAGAAGTGTCTTGAGAGCTACATGAAGTATCGAAGCGGTGAATACTACCAATGTGGAGTGCGAAAAGCCGGTGTGGGGATCTTCAACTGCCTCTCAGTCTCAAAAAGGAAGACGCACTACTAGGTGACTAGGTAACCAGGTGTTAAGGTCACCAAGTGCTCTGGTGAACAAACTGTTGGGCTTGGAGACGTTGATGGCCTCAAGGAGAAACGAAGGTCGAGACTGCCAAAGAGAGAATCTCCTGGATGTGGACTATCCTGTCATTTCCTCACCGAGAATTCGGGATGTGGTGTGGATGACGACACTCGTCGCCCCCATGTGAACGGCACGCGCGCGTTCTGAAAAACAGCGACGGAGGACGTTTGAGTTAAGCTAAGGCTTGGTTGTGGATGAGTGCATTGCCTAGATGGACTCCAGCTGGCAGATCCTGAGCAGATGCGCAGAACAGCATAAAGATGTAGCACAAAGACAGATGACACAGATGTAGACAGAGAAGAGGTGGTGTCGGAAGGTGCTTCCATAGATGATGATGGATTGCTGAGCAAAATGGCGGATCAGCTGCAGATTGTTTCTTGTGCAGTCATGAACTGATCCCAAGAGACATTGTTTCGTGCTGGAAGAATAATGGCGCAAGGCTGTAGCCCAAAGGAAAGTTGTGTCGAGTCTCAAACTACTCCTTTTCAAATAATGCATCTCATCGACCTCCGTCACGTACGCACCAACCATAGACCAAGCCACACTAGGCACGAATGATGCAATTCCTTGATGAAGCTTGTTCACTTTGGAGTCCCCTCGACATACCATCTCCCATCCTGTTCCAGCCCACTTCGTTGTAGGAAAAGTGCGAAGACTTCAAGCAATCGCAGCAAGAGGTTCGGCAGAGGTGTGACGGGGCTTTCCTGGGTGTGGTGTCTGGAAAAGGGTAGTTGTTGCAGAAGTGCATGGGTCCAATAGTCTATTGTGTTTTTGCAATTAGATCCAGTCTGCATTGGCGATAGATCTTGTAGTTGGGAAGTATGTGGCTTTGGGTTGTGAGACACTTGCCTTTTGAGCTCATATTGTATTGTACAGATCATTATATATGTGAAACCATGACGCATGTCTCAGTGACGGATTCGTGGAAGTTGCACCCTTTTCCGCGGCCTTCTAGGCCTAAGCCATATAGCTGCTACGCATGAGGCGAAAACGTGCGCCGTGAACCTGTCGTTGACTGGTTCTACAGTGGCACCGGAGCCTCCCTTTCAGGACCTTTGCTTGGTTGCCCTCGCGCCCGCTGCCGCTCCCTAGCTTTGTCCTTTTCTTTGGCCAGAACTACGCTCTGAGGTTTCCTAGGTTGTCCTTGCACGGCGGTGTTCCGGGCAGCGACCTTCGAGCCCAAAGAGGTGACCCTTGGCCTCGCTACTTTTGCACCTTCGGACTTTCATTGTCTTTGTGTACCTTTTGCAGGCCCCTTTTGGAACTTTCTCCTTGTGTTCGTCTTTGACTGCTTAACCCTCGTAGAGGACCAGCACCCCGTTCACTACTTTTGGAGCACCTAGGCTCCACCTTTTGCAGAAGGCCTCAACAAGCGGCCTTCCTTTGAAACTTCGAACCTTGTCAGTTGTTTTTAGAGGCCTAGCCTTTGCCTCCCTTGCACCTCAACAGCATGGCAGCAAGCTCAGAAGAGTCGGGGACATCGAGTTGGTACAGGGTCCCTACCTGGTCGGGCAATCCGGCCGAGTGGAGGACTTTCCGCCGAGAGATGAATTGGTGGATTGCCTCCTTGGACAGCGAAAGCTGTAAGAAGTTCAACGTTGCAGCCCGTTGGGCCTTGAGACAACATGGAGTTGTTCGAGCTCGATGTGAGGAATTTGATCCGTCGGAGTTGGTTGGCATCCAAGAGGAATCCATGGAAGATCCAGAAACAAAAGAGAAGATCATTGTGACACCTGCCGACCCTTTTGCTGGACTCACCAAGCTGATGGACGCCTTGGAGGCTACCGTTGGAAAGTCGAGCTTGGACCGAAAAGGTGAACTTCGCGCCATGTACTATCAAGAGATCAAAAGAAATGCTGGCGAAAGGATTAGTGCATTTTGCACACGGTTCAGAACGCTTGCTGCAGATCTCAAAAGAGAAGGCATTGCAATGCCTGAGGAAGAGCTTGGTTGGATGCTTAAGGAACGCCTTGGATTGGACCCGATTCGCAAACAATTGTTGGAAACCGCATTGGCTGGTCGGGAATCCTATGATGTTGTGGAAACGGAGTGCCTTCGGTTGTTTCGTGATTTGCACACCTCCGATCCTCTTTACAAGGCCAAGCATGCAGACAAGCCCCCGTTGTTGCAGAGATTTTTGCAGTCGCGCAATAGCAACACGTCGTACAGGTCCCCCAGTTCTGCCACTCGCTCTGTTCGTTCATTCAGGTCACAGAGCTCAGCTTCAGCTTCGAGTCGGCCACCTTTCCGTCGGTTCGGAAACAGCGGTGCACCACCTCGTCAGGCTCTGGTGACAGAGCTGCCAGAGGATGCTGAACAGTATGAGCCCGAGCTTGAAGAAGACACTGAACTGATTCCGGCTGAGGAAGCTTCACCCCAGTCGATTGAAGAGGTACTTCAAGCCGAAGCTGAATACTTGGCAAGCGAGATCCAGGAGTTGGAGGACCAGGGTTGCGAAGCTTCAGTTTTGGAGGAGTTGGAATCAGGCCTTGAACAGGCCGCTGAAAGCCTGGTGACCATGCGTGAAGCCCGAAGCCGCATTGCTGAAGTGAAGAAGGACCGCGGCTATGGTAAGGCCGCATCATCATCCTTTTCAGCTGGCAAGAAACCGCATGGCAATCAGGTTCCCAAGCAGAAGGCCAACACCCGTTGTTTTGATTGTGGAGAACCTGGACATTGGGCGGGTGACTCCGCATGTGCAAAGCCCGGAGCTGGCTTGGAAAAGAAAGGCCGTGGCAAAGGTCTGAGCACTTCCTCTCCAGCGAAGCAAGTGCGTGTGACTGAAGCCCTCAACACGGAGCATTTGTTGGAAAGTGATGCATTGGTTGAACCACCGGTTGAGCGTGAAGTGATGATGTTGACAACATTGGTTGACAAGTCGGTTGACACATTGGTTGACACAGATGTGTTGGTTGATCAATCGGTTGGCATGTCGTTGAAAGGACAGTCGGTTGCAAGGCGTGTCGATTCATTGGTTGAGCATGAAGTGTTGACATTGTCGGCAGAGACCTTTGGCCTGCCCTTGTCGGAAGTGCTGGCGCAATCCCACGACAAAGTTGCAGTGAGCACCAATGCTCAGTTGGCTGTTGACAAACAGTTTGTTGGTGCGTTGGACTCAGCTTGCAATAGGACCTGCGCCGGATCCACCTGGTTGAAGTGTTACTTGGAAATGTTGAAGCAAGCCCCAAAGTATATCCAGCACCTGGTTTCCCATGTCTCTGAGAATGAGCTGTTCCGTTTTGGAAATGGCGGCACCCAACGTTCAAATGTTCGGTACAGGCTACCTATGATGATTGGCTCCACCCTTATCACGGTCTGGGTTTCCATTGTGCCGGTAGCGTCATTGGGATTATTGTTGGGGAGAGATTTTTGAGTGGGATTGGTGCAGTGATGTCGTTCGCTCGCAAGAAGCTTCGGGCGGACCTTGTCAACAATGAGTTGCACGATTTGGGTCAACTTGCTGCAGGACACTTCACCCTGCCTTTGCCACCAACGGGAGATTGGATGCGTCCGGGCACTCAACGCTGGCGAAGCTTTGGTCAAGATGGTGTTGTCGAGATGCAGTTGAACTGTCACGATTGGTGGAACAAGAAACTTCTTTCTCGTTTAGCTCGTTTTGATGTTTTGCAAGCACCTGCAGCACCGCACGAGCACCTGGTCACTGAACGTTCCTTGTCGGCAATGGCTCAAGCGATGACGGTGGCTCAAACCCCTCTGACCCTTCCGTCGACGACTCCTACTACCTCCTGCCGACCGACGACTACCAGTGACCAAGGACCAAATGGCCTCTCAAGCGATCGTGCACGACCTCACTCAGGACACCTCAGGGATGATCGCCAAGTGGAGGCGCATGGTGCTACGACAGCGGGCTCGCGCCGAATGGCACGGCCGTGGATTGCTCTTATGGTTGCTGCAGCGACCGCATCTGCGGTATGCTCCCTTCCCATATCCAAGCATCTCGAACGTCAAGCAGTGGGAGGAACAAGCGGTCTCAATGACTGCGCAGCGGCCCAAAGCCATCCTCAAGGAGCACTACACGAGAAGCTGCATCAACCAGGTCTACGAGACCAAGAACCTAGTGGAACTGGGTCAGTTCCGCAATCGTGTTGGCCTGCAATTCGCCTTCGTAGAGGACAGCCTTCTTCAAGGAATGCTGGCAGCCCGTGCGAACAAGGGCATCACTACGCAGTTGAAGAAAGAAGCTTTCCAAGAGGCTCAAATCAAGGCAGCAGCGATGAAGTCTCAGGAAGATCAAGAAGCTGCCGTTCGACAGCTGATCGGACCAAAGGGTGGCCTACCGTCACTCAAAGCCGACCTCATTCGCCTGGCTGCCCTCCTCAACGTGACCCTCGACTCCAAGATGACCAACGAGCAGATCAAGGCGGCTTGCCGACCCATGATTGCCGAGCTCATGGCAAAACCGAAGCCGAGCAGCAGCAGTTCAAAGAGCTCGACAGATCCGGCAATTCCCGCCTCTCAGGCGAAAGCCAAGCCTACCTCAGCGCCACAGGTGATGGAGGCTCCACGTCGATTCGACGGCCCGCAGATGATCTCAGTTCAAGATGTTCACGAACTGCTGGCAGCTCAGGATCAGAAGTTCCAGACCATGCTGAATCAGGTCATGCAACACGTGACCTCTCAGCCAGTCCCCAAGGCAATGGCTGGCCATCCGATTCTCACCGGATGGGACGCTCCTCCAGACGAGACCATGGAGGACGGACGTTTTCATGGCTGGACACCCGAGGAGATCCGCCAGATGAATGCCGACCACATTCAAGAAGATCTGGATTGGCGGATGGCCAACGGCATTCCTCCTCGCGAGATTTGATGGAGTTGACTTCGAACCCCTGGCGACTTCATCAAGATGTCAAACCAGGGCAAGCTCAGCTGATCTCAGAAGCCTGGAACAAGCACTGCCGAGACCGTCGTTTGGTATCTCTGAGTGCCTATGAGGTCAACGAGATCTACGCTGGTGAATGGGAAGCGACAGTGAATGAGGCCCAAAACGATGTCTTCCTGACCTCCGTTGTCATTGGCCTCGATGATGACACCTCTCCGAATGAAGACGCTTCTCAGAATGTCAAGAATCCATCGAATGCCAAGCTCACACCGAATGTCAACAAGTTCAAGAATGACTCCGGAAAGTTCTTTTTTAATGATACGGCGACCACCGAGATCTACACCACGACTCAGAGAGTCACCAAAGCTGCACAGCAACGTGGGCACGTCACCGGATCACCTTTGTCATTGGAAACGGGCTGGAATTTCTTGCGGAGTCATGACCGCGAGGTGGCTCGAAAGCTTTTGTCTAAGGAGATCCCCTATTTCCTGGTGATTGCCTTCCCTTGCAGTTTTTGGAGCATCCTCCTGAACCTGAATCCTCCGAAGGATCATGAGAGAAGGCTGAAAGAAGCGATGCAGTTGCTCCGCTTCGCTATACAGCTGGCTCGTGATCAACATGCCCGTGGTTTGCACTTCGTTCTGGAGAATCCTCAAAGCTCCAGAGCATGGTCTTTGGATGAGATGCAAAAAGCCCTGTCTGCCTTGCAAGCTCGTTTGGTGGACTTCCATCAATGTCGCTTTGGCCTTCGAGGACGCAATGGACAGTTGGTCCGCAAAGCAACTCGCTTGGCTACTTCGAGCGACTACATCGTACAGACCTTAGATGGCATGAAGTGCTTGGGAAACCACGACCACGAGCACGTCATCGGTGGAGCGCACATCTCAAGACCTTCCGGTCACTATCCATGGGAGCTCGCCAAGACTCTCGTGAAGGGAATGGAAAGGCAGTTTGAAGCCGATTTCAAAAGGCCTCACCCTGGCAATTTGCCTGGATCGCCTCACTCCACCTTAGCTGTTGAAGAAGGAGAAGCTGAACATTACCCCGCTGCACTCGATGACAGCGATTCAGAAGCAGAGCTTCCAGATCTTCCTGAACCTAAAGGAGATGCCAAACTTCCAGCTGGAGTGAAGCTAGCGCTCAAAAGATTGCACGAGAACACTGGTCACCGTTCTGGAAAACGTTTAGCCAGAGCATTGGCCATTGCGGGTGCGCCAGCAGATGTGGTGAGAGGAGCCTTGCACCTACGTTGCTCCATTTGTGATGAGCAGCGTGCTCCCAAGGCGAGGAGACCTACCAGTTTGCCTACGCCAAAAGATGTTGGCGACCAGGTGTTCATCGACATCTTCGAGGTCTTCGATCTCCAAGAGCGCCGTTACTATGTGGTTCATGCAGTTGACTTCGTGTCGCGGCTTCAAATGGCCGAATTGGTGGACCAGAAATCCTCAGACATGGTCGCTCGCTTCCTGTCCACAAGGTGGCTTCCAGTTCTTGGCGCACCGCGCACCCTGGTGGCGGATCAAGGAAGAGAGTTTGTTTCTCATGTCTTTGAAGAGTACTGCAGTGGGCATTCCATCTACTTGCACCACACAGCAGTTCAAGCTCCATGGCAAAACGGAATCGCAGAACGTGGTGGCTCCATTCTCAAGGGCATCATCAAGGCTTTGGTGAAAGCACATTCAGTGAGCGCACGAGATGACATGGACGTGTGCATTCAAGAGGCTGTAGCTGCTTACAACAGCGACATGACTGATGCCGGTGTCACGCCCAATCAGGCCGCTTTTGGCCGTCAGCCTCGTCTCCATGGTGACACCCTTGGCGACTTTGGAAGAAGGTTGAGCGAGCGCGGGCTAATCGAGTCAAAGCCCAGCCTGGCTCGACAAGTGGCCATCAGAGAGTCAGCCCGGATTGCTATGTTGAGAATGCACTTCTCCAAAGGTCTTCGACGGGCCGAAACAGCCAGATCGAGAACATCCACCATTGAGCACAACCTTCAACCTGGGCAGATAGTCTACTTCTACAGGCAGACTCGCTACAACAACAAGACCTCAGGTTCCAAGAAGCGCCTCAGTCTTCGACGATGGCATGGACCAGCTCTTCTCATTGCTTTGGAGGGCCACACGAACGGCTTCGTGAGCTATCGGGGCCAATTGACAAAGTGCGCTCTAGAACACCTGAGGGCTGCGAGCACTATGGAACAAGTGGCCACCTCTGTCTGGGAAGATGCTATTCAAGAAGTGATTGAGGCAGCTTGCCACGACCAGTCCAGGAACTCTGAAGTTCGAGATTCCGAATCTGCAGTACCAGAAACAGCACGTCGTGAAGGGCAACCTCAGGAAGTGTTCGAACCTGAAACTCCAGTGATCCCTCAAGCTCAAGGATTACCTTCGTCCGCAGCTCCACATGATCTTCCTCCTCTTCAACCGCAGGAGATGGTGGCTGGAATGTCTCGAGCCTTGACACCAGGAGCTGAAGGAGCTTTTGGATCGAGCACCAGAAGGAGCTCTTCAGTGATGAGACCGAGCTTTGACCTATCTCAGTCTCCGTTTCCGCAAACTCTTCAGAAAGCACTGCTCCAAGCACAAGAACGAGCAACCGAAGTTCCTGTTCCAGAAGCTGGCAATAAACGCTCGGCTGAGCTTGATGCTGAACAACTTCGGGAAGAAGTTCAAGAGGCTGATGAGATTCCACCTCCGGCGACTTCAGTCACTGCTCCTCAGTCCAGTGAAGTGCTGAATGTGACCGCTTTGCCTTATGAGGTGATGGAACTACAAGCGAAAGCGGAACTCCATCCTCTTAGACAACTACAAGCCTTGGCTGCTATGGATCGTCGCGATCCTCTCGGAAGCAAAGTGCTAGATCATGGCACTTGGCGTGGTGATTGGCCACTCCCTTCAAGGACAACCTGGCAAAGAATGAAGCTTCTTGGTCAGACTTGGCCGCTTGGCAACCACGAAGCTGCTTCTGAAGTCCTTGCCGTCCTCACGGCCAGGAAGGAAAAGTCCTGGAACTCTTTGACAGAGTTTGAGAAAAAGGAATTCCATGCAGCCGCCCTCAAAGGCTGGCAAGTCTGGACAGACAATGACGCAGTCGAGATCCTTCCAGATGATGAAGCAGGGCGCATTCGTGCGCGACTGAGAGCTGAGAACCAAAGTCACCGCATCTTGGTCCCTCGTTATGTGATGGTGGACAAGAATGACGGCCTTCGAACGGAGACCAATCAGCTTCCCTTGCTGGCGAACGCTCGCCTGGTGGTCCCCGGGTACCAGGACATATCGGCCTATGGCATCAGACGCTACGCCCCAACAGCGTCAAGGACAAGTCAGCATTTGCTCCTGGCCTACACGGCTTCAAGCAAGTGGAGTTTGTGGTCAGCTGACATCAAGTCGGCCTTTCTCAAGGGTGAAGAGTTTGGGCCTGAAGAAAGGATCCTTTACTTGGCCAACATCCGGACCAAGCATGCTGATGAACCCACCTTGCCCTTCTCACCTCATGGCCTATGCAGGGTCAAGAAAGGCATCTTCGGCTTGGCAGACAGTCCGCGCCGATGGTACCAGCGGCTCAACAAGGCGGTGATCAAACGAGGCTGGAAGATCTCGGTGCTAGACAGCGCCATGTGGATGCTATGGAGTGAAGATGGCTCCGAGTTGGAAGGCATCATGTTGTCCCACGTGGATGACCTTTTGATGGGTGGCAATGAGCGTGCTCAAAAGACCCTAGAATCTCTGGGTCAAGAACTGGGCTTTGGATCCATCTCCAACAAGTCCTTTGTCTACTGTGGCAAAAAGATAGAGCAGCTCGATGATGGCACCATCTCCGTGTCCATGGAGGAGTATCACTCGAACTTGCAGCAGGTGAAGATATCTCCAGATCGAAAGAAGACACCAGATGCTGCGCTACATCCTTCAGAACACAAGCAACTGCGGGCAGTCCTTGGCTCCCTTCAGTGGTTGGTGGCCCAGATCCGCTATGATGTTGCCTTCCAGCTGTCAAGCTTGCAGGGCGAATCAGCGAGCCCTACAATTGGAACTCTCTTGAGGGCAAATTTGCTTGCGAGAAAGGTGAAAGAGAATCCCACCTTTGCGCTGAAGTTTAAACCCATGACCCTCAAGGACAGTGGCATCGTCGTCGTTTCTGACGCTTCTCTGGGAAACATGACGAAGGCCGGGAGTTCCCAAGCTGAAAGCCTCCAGAAAGTCTACAGCCAAGCCTCATACTATGTCCTCTTGGCAGACCGCCAACTCCTTGATGGCAATGAAGGACAGTTTGCGATCCTCGACGCTCGATCGCACAGGCTTCAAAGAGTTTGTAGATCAACCTTCGCCGCTGAATTGCTCGGCATTGAGGAGGCCATGGATGCAGGACAGTACTGCAGAGGAGTGCTAGCTGAGGCCCATGGCTATGCCTTGGATAAGAAGCCCTTCGAGGTGAGCACAGATTCCATCTCCATGGTGGTTGTCACCGACTCCAAGGATGCCTACGACAAAGGGTCGAGCTCAACCCCGTCGTATGGGTCGCAGAAGTCACTTGCCTTCACAGTGGCTTGGATCAGGTCCATGCTGGCCCGGTGCAACACGATGTTGCGTTGGACATCCACCGAGAACCTCTTCGTGGATTGCGGAACGAAGGACATGGATTCCGCCCACCTTTTGCGGATCCTCGATGCATGTCGCTGGAGCATCCGATATTCTCCAAGCTTTGTGAAGCAAAGCTCCAAGGGGAAGGCTGCCAAAAAGGTAGTTCATGATGATGTTCGTAGTGATTTGGGCACCCCTTTTTGAGAGCACCAGCCCGATATATGGGCATGTGATGAAGTTAAGCACCCAGCCAGGTTGGCACAGAATTTCAGAAGACTTGGCAGTGCATGTTTGCTCAAATGCCCGCTCCTTTCGTTCTCCCAAGCCACGCTTCAAAGTGGACTCACTTCCGTACAGGTTCACCTTTGCCTGTCTAGAGGGAGCTCACGCCTTGACCTGGCGAAGCCTTGAAGAAGGCATTGACATGCGAGATTTGAAGAACCTTCGTGCCAGTCTCGGCACCTGTGCATCGAAGCTCATTAGTTGCTTCAGCACGCATCCGTCGCTGATCCACAAAGAGAGGAGATCAGCTGTGAAACCATGACGCATGTCTCAGTGACGGATTCGTGGAAGTTGCACCCTTTTCCGCGGCCTTCTAGGCCTAAGCCATATAGCTGCTACGCATGAGGCGAAAACGTGCGCCGTGAACCTGTCGTTGACTGGTTCTACAATATACCTACAAATGATCTTTAGCACCGAGGGATTTCTGAGTTGCTGAGTGCGCCCAGGATTGCTGAGCGCACCAAGGCCATTCAGCAGGAGGCCAAGCTGCCAGGCAGCGCTGGCATCGTCTGCGGCACTGGCATCGTCAGTGATTTTGAGCACTCAGAACACGCAGCCGATGAGGCAATTTTGAGCTGGTAGAGACAGACCCTCACTGGCAGTGTTTGGGAGAATCCTGACTCTTACTGCAGCAATAGCAGTTTAGCATAGTTTAGGTAGGTAAGAGGTCAAGTTATTCGCTTGTATTCAGTGCCAACTGCAGGTCAAAGCAGATTCCAACCCTGCTTTTAGGTGCTTTCCTGATGTGGGTCTTGTGGCCACTCCGCCTCGCGCCCGGCCAGGAACAGCTGGCCCGAACAGCTCCGGCGCCTCCAAGGAGCAGCTCCGCGAGGCGCTGGCAGCTCGCAAGGCCAAGTTGAGGAGTCAGGCGCGCTGAGAAAGGGTTCAGTGGGAAGGCCGACGGGCTCGGGGGCCAGGTTCGCCATGGTGTGACGCAGAGGGTCCCCTCATTAACTGATATTACATAGATAAATATAGATTATATATATATATTATATATATATATTATACATATATATAATATATATACATATGTATAATCTTTTGCTTAAAATATACATGTTTGATTTAGGTGCCCACAAGCTAAATCCCCAAGACGTTGGGAAGATTTGTTCTCTTTGCTCCGCCAGTTTGTGGCAGCCTTTGTTTCGTGGGCGGTGATTGAAGCCTACCAGGTCAGAAACTAGAAACTAGACAAATTCTGTGGCCTGCTTCCGGAAATGACCTCCACGATTTGCACCTGTTCGCCCAGGAAAAGGAGGCGGCGGCTGTTGATAGAACTGCCACACCGACCAAGAAGAGGCTCATCCACCTTCATCATCCTGAAATGGAAAGGATTTGTCCCACCCACGTCGCGGAGAACGAATTTCTTCTTCCCAGGCGAAAGCGGCAAGCTGGCATTGAAAGGCCTGAGTCAAGGCCTGAGTCAAGGGCGAGAAAAGCACATGCGTTGGCCATTTACAGTGGTTTCAGAGTAGATGGCACAATCCCCAAGTTCCGTGGTTTAGATGGTACTTGTTGTTTTTCATCACGGTTAATCTCGAGATGTGAAGGCCGCACGAGATGCGGACGCCCAGCAGGCGTGGACGGGTTTTGTTTTCTGACAAGGGGAGAAGTCGAAGGAAGTTCTGCCAAGGTAAAGATCCTTAAATGAATCAATATCAAAGCACTTTGGGTCGTGGTTGGAGACGCTGGTGAACAAGTCCAGGGTGAAAATACGTTCAAAATGGTCACAATTTAGTGGACATGGCACAGTGATATCAAGACTTACAGTAGAGACAATGAGTGTCTTTGTCAAAATTTAGTGATTCTTTTGTAACACTTGGTGATGTATGTCCCCAACGCTTTCTATGACTCTTGTGTGTTGGGATCAGCGTAGATTTGCCCTTTTGGATCCCATGATCGACGCGGCAACCGCTCAAAGAAGATGTGGATCTCAGTAGAAGCTCTTTGAAGGGGGGGCAAACCAAGGCATGGTTAAAGGACGGAAACCGTAGCCGTTTTGGCTTAAGCTGTTTTGTGAACAGCTCTTCAATCACGCTCTACGCCAACCTTCACTCACGACTACTTGATTAGCGAAGGATCTACAACTCAAACGACTACGTGACATGCAGATGTCTTGGTTCATTTCGATTTCTGTGCTCGTTGTTGCTGTGGGACAAGAAACTTTTGGCTTCGAGGAAGATGCCTCGTCCTTCTTAGCTGTGGTGCAGAGTCCTAAGGCATTACGTGCTGACAGTGCTAAGGTAGAGAAAGCGCCTATTGTAGTTGAGCTCACCAGGACCTACAGTGGTGAGGGCTTGAACTGGCGCAATTCGGCCTATGTGGGTGACCTCTTCATCGGTTCGCCAAAGATGCAACGCCTTCGGGTGAGCTTTGACACGGCCTCCGGCCAGGTCATCATTCCATCCAGCAGATGCCAAAGTTTAGCATGCAAAGAGCACCAGCGCTTTGCAATCGGCGCCAGCTCCTCAGCGAAGGAAGTGAACGCCGACGGCACCCAGGTGCAGATGCTACCCGGATCACTGATGATCCGCCGGGATGCAATCACAGTGGGTGTCTCCAGCATCGACCATGGCTCTGGCAATGCTTTTGGTGATCTCCTCTTAGACCTAGTCTGTCTGGGAGGCCCACAGCATTGCACAGAGTTGGGTTTGGTGGCAGTGACCAACATGAGCGACGTGCCCTTCCGTGCCATGGTCCAAGATGGGATCGTCGGCTTGGGCATGAGCCAGTTGGCAGCAAATCCAATCTTCCATCCGCTGAGCTGCTTCCAGTCAAACCTGTCCAAGTCCTTCTCACTGTGGCTTGGGGCCGAGCGTGGTCAGCTGTCCATCGGCATAGGCATGAGCCACATGAGCTCCTTGAACTGGATCTCCGTGCTCCGCCCAGAGGAGGGCTACTGGCAATTTGCTCTTCATGGCTTGCGGATCGGGAACCGGACGGTGGCCTGCTCCAATCGGATGGGCAACGAAAGCAGTTGTCGCGCCGTCATTGACACCTCTGCGGCCGGCGTGGGTTTGCCCCCTGCCATGTACCAGCGATTGATGGCAGCATTGAAGGAGAAGGTGTGCGATGGACCGCAAGTGACCTTTGAGGTGGAGGGGCAGATGCTGCACTTGGACGCCCAGGATTACCGGGACTCCAGTTGCGAAGCCATGTTTGTCCCCACCGACCTGCCCGAAACCTTCAAGGACGTCTTGATCCTGGGACAGCCATTCCTACGGAAGTATTTCACGGCCTTTGACGGCGAGACTAGGAGTGTGGGCTTCGCCTTGGCCGCGCAGATCGAGGTCCCGCCCACCGTCAGCCCCTCGCCATTGGCGCTGGCAGAGGCAGGCTACCAGCTTCTCAGTGCAAAAGAAGCCATGGAGCTGGAGACACGAGATGACTGGCGGGCAGAAGTGCAGCTGTCCCCAGAGGCAGCCTTTCATCAGACCAACATTTTGGCTGCTCTGCTGCTGCAGGTCCTAATCATGCAGGTGGCCATGATTGTGGTCTTCATCAGCTTCAATGCGCGAAGCCAGGAGCAGTTCACAGGGCGCGCGGCCTTTGCTCGTGTGAGCGCAGCGCTGCAGAACTGGTTCGGCCTGAAGATTTTCCGATCCAACCACCTTGCCTCCTGGCTGCTGGCGATTCGCCCCATCCCACCTCAAGAGGCAGAGTGTGTGGTCTGCCTGGGTGTTCGCGATGAGGAGGCACATCCCGGAAGCGAGCCAGCTTGGTGTGAGCTCCGATGTGGGCATGTCTTCCACCAGGAGTGCATCGCTGAATGGCTGGTCAAGGTGCAGAGTTGCCCCGTGTGCCGCAGCAGCATCTATGCCCGGAAGGAAGCTCCTCTTTGAGATGCGCCACAGCTCTCACTGCTTGGTTTCTGACCCCAAAGCTGGAGCACGGCGTCTACAATCGGGAAAAAGATACCCCTTCGTGACATGGATGAGTTTGATTGAACCCCTTCAACGCGGAGGGACAAGGTCGGAATGCTCCAATCCAAACGCAGGTTGGAGCCCTCCCGCAGCCGGGATACACCCATCCACGTGGTCAGCGAGGTGGAAGTGCCAAGGGTTCACGGTGCATTATTGGAGGATATGTGTCATTAGGCCCAATATTGACTCTAGGAACTGTTCAACTCTTGATGGCTACTTCGCAGGCAGAATGGTGGATCCTTGGACCTTGGTCCATGTTGGAGGCTTTTTCATGTCTGGCAGGTGCCTCAGCCCCTGCAGCCCATGGCTTCCATCGAGCAGGCGCAGTTTCTTCTTTTTTCGGAACCCAGTGATACGCGGACCGGCTGGTTGAGACGAGCTTCACGGCTCGCCAGGATGCTCGCAGGCATTCCCACGGGGTGGCTGACAGCGTTGTGACCATCTTGCGAGATGGTGTGGAGGACCGGAGCAGAGTTGCGAAGGTCTTCCGTCCTTGCTGATTCCTGAACAAATCTTTTTATGCAACGATTTGTTGACTTTTCCACTTTGAGGATCAACTTTACTTGGCGTTCCAGCACCGCACTGTTCATTGAATGTCCTGATGTTGCCTGGTGTCCTGTCCGCGCTGGTCGGTCCCATGAGATTCCATGGTGGCCCCATATGATGTCCACCGAATCGGTTCCTTTCATTGGGTCCACCTTCACCTTCACCTTCAGCGTCGTTTTGGCCAGGTCTTTGAACTTGATCGCCCCAAGCCACAGGACGGGACGTCCCAGCTGAAAACCTCCAGGGCTTGGATCCAACCAAACACGAAATCAGATGAAAGAAAAGGAAGCGTTTTGTTTCCTAATAGCTTTTAGCTACTAGTAGTAGTGCCCTTGTCACTAGTAGAATCTTTCATTTGATGAGCCTTTTGGCTGTTTGAGTTGCCCTGGTGAAGAGGCGACCAAAGAGGAATGAGCTTACGTAAGATGCTTGTGGAGTGGCTTCAATGTCGGAGGTTTATAGTGAATGCCTTGAACACAGCTTGAGCCGCTTGAATTAACAGGATCCGGTCGTTTCTGGTGCTTTGTATGCGAACACCCATGATGTGTATAATGTTTCATTGATTTGTGATATCCGTTTCGAACACGAAGACACGTTGAAAAGGAATGAACATCAGACTTTCAAGACGTTTGATTTGAACGGAGTCTTGAAGCTTCTTTAGGCTGAGGGAATTGACCTCAGGACTCAGGCTTGTGGAGAATCAGTTCTAGACGAGCTATAAGTCCAACCCTTTGACAAGTCTTCAGAAAATCGTCTCGTTTTGCGAGACACTGATTTCATGTCATTTTGAAAAGCAGATCTCCTTCCGTCCCCAGACAAAGCTGTGCATGTCAAGTCCAGTTGGTGACGTGCAGGCGAAAGATGTACCTGCCAAAGTAAATGCAGGCAGGCTGATGTGGTTTTGATTGCTAATGGAAAGTCTTTTTGATTGAAGGGCCATGAGCGCTGGCTGTGGTGCTATCTAAAGCCAGCTTGCGCAATTTCTTGGAAATGACATCCATGCTCCATGCAGGAACACTGATTCTGAAAGGAAGTAGTCTTGAATTGCCATCTCTGCTGATTGCAGAGGTCGGTCCCATTTGCAACTTGGCCACACTTGGTGTTGGCGGTGTCTTTGAAGGATCCGACATGTGACTTCATATTTCGGTCGATCTGGCTTCTCTATTTGTGACACCTGAGATCAAACTAAAGGGAGTTCATCCAGCGGTGATTTTCAGATCAACATCGCCATGGAACGAAACATGTCGGTACAGAACTGGTTGGGAATATCTAACCGGCATAGCTGCTTTGGGCGCCATTTTCTTTTTTTTTGTGCTTTCCTTTTATTCATGAGGACTCCCGGGTGCCGCCTCCCGTCCTCCCGCTTAGGGACGTCAAGCGAAGGAGGCCGCGCGAAGATGCGAGGCCAGGGGGAAGGTGAATGACCAGGTCAAAAAACTAAACACCCTGAGCACGTGAAACGTAAGAAGCGTAAGAGAGGAGCTTGGATTTCTTAATAGATCAATCCTAATCTATCCTCCATGCCTCAAAGAGAATAACCAAAGATGTGTTTGATTCAAACCGTAATTAATGTTGGCTGAGTTGGCTGGTGAAACCAACATGATCGTGCTGCGAACCACGCTCAACCTTGATGTGCGGTTCTTGAGCGGACCCCTATCGTATAGTTTGGATTCTGTTTCTGGACGTAGTTAGTCGTTTTGTTGACAATCCAATCCATGACAGAACATTAGCTAACCCTTTTTTAGAATTGAGAAGTATGCAATCAGAGGTTGTATGTCCAAGTTCGGTCTTTGTTTTTTGCAACCCTGCATGAGCATTTTTGCTTTGCTCTTTTCAGGCCCCAGAACCTTCAGGTTGGTGGGGCAGAGTGACGTCATCAAAGGAGTTTCTAGTCGAGAGGTGTCTAGGGATCATTTATGAGGGCTCCAATGCGTGTGTAAATTACAATCCCCGAAGGTCTTTGAAGGCAATCAAGGATTTGAGACCCGACCTTATCTGAAGCATCAGGACATATGATTCATATGATATGGACATATGGATGTTAGAAACAAGCTTGACCTATTCATCGCTTGACCTCAAGGTTCTTCGAAAGAGTGTCTTTTGGGCCTTAGTTCTGATTGCACCGTGTTCTGATTGCACCTCTCTGTGTCATCCGCCCTGCCAGGAGCGCCGGAGGTGCAGTGGGGATGCTGTTGGTGTTGCTCAAAAATATTTTGGTCGTCATGGACATGATACCATGTGACATACAATAACCCAAAAGAAGGAGATCCACACCAAGCCTGGGAAACTGCTGTATTGGTCGATCCAGTTTCTGTGATCCTTGCCAGGTATGAGGGCCATGAGTCCCCTCGAAGAAGTGGCAGAAGTCGCGGCGCGAGGGCATAGCTGTTGCGCCAAAGTGTGCGTTGTGCCAAAGCGCGCAGCGCCAGTCGCATGGCTTGGACCTCGAGGAAAATGGCAGCGATTGGGTGATTGGGATGCGGAACCTAAGTCCCACGGCCAGTGGTGCAGGCTTATCGTTGATCTATGTTTCGTTCTGCTTGAAGACAGATATGCTGCTTCGCCGTCAAAAGAGGACTCGAAAGAAGACCGTGGAGTCTCCGGTCACAGTGGGCCGCCTCAGCCAAGTCGTTTGTTCTCCCAGGTCGCTTTGGCCCGCGAGGCGATCCAGGCGCTGATCCGCGTCTGCAGCGTCTCCGAGTCTCTGAAAGTGAGAGAAAAACATGGGGTCGTGCCAGAAGGTAGTGAAGTGCCAGTGCTGTTGAAGACACGAATCTGTAAAGTCTGCGTCATGAAACCAATGCATATCAAAAAACATTCCCTTTCAATCCCTTTCAGGAGGCTGCCTGCAGACTTGGTGAGTTCGGTCTTTCGTGGCTGTCATGCGCCCAGGAGGTCCCAGAATGTCGGCTTGCAGAGGTTGATGTGGCATTGTTACTAGTAGCGTTCTTGCTCCTAGTAGTACGGCCAGGAGCCCCTAGTAGCGTCCTGTAGCGATGCCAGGAGCCCCTAGTAGCTTCTTGTTCCTGTCAAAGAATTATATAGATTGATCTTTGTCATTCCTTTTTGAGACTGTCGCAGTTTCTGTCTTAACAGCAATGCCAGTAAGCTACGCGACGAATCAACAACTCGAGCAGTGGAGGTTCTGAACTTGAACGAGAGAAGAGGAGGATAATGCTGATCAAAAATCTGAAGGATGGGCAGAAACTGCCAAGTCCAAGTCATTCGGAACGGAGGACTCCAAAAATGGGTCTCATTTTTCTGGCGAAATGGTCAAGCCCCACTGCTTGAGACCAAGAAGTTGATCCATGTGGGTAAGTCGATTGCTCCTGTCATGGTCTTTTTCACCAGCAAATTTCGTCTCGGCCTCCACGGACGTGGATCTTCCCGAGGCGCTTCCGGAGGCACTTGGAGGTGAGACGGCAACCGAGACGGCACTTTTAGTGGAGTCTTAGTGCAAAACAATTTGGCAGGGGTTTGAAACCCACACGAAGACTCTGCATTTCGTTCTTGTGGCTAGGAAGCGTGTGGAGGCTCACCCTGGTTTGAGCAACATCCCACAGAAGTTGTTCGGAATTTGCACTTCCTTTCGAAGTGTGAGAGGGGTGAGCCCAGGCATTTGTGGGACGATCGGTGAACAAAAACACTTCCTTGGCATCGACTTCCATTGAGGACTTGCAGTTTTCTTCGGAACTTGCAGACTTTGCTGCAGGTTCTCTTTCAGGTAGATGCAGGGGAGCCCAGGCATGGAAGCCCAGTACAGGGGACCAACGACAGAAAAGATGGGAGGAACGTCGTTCCCATGTATTATCATGTTTTTTCTTTTCCTTTCGTTGCATGAGCATGCATGAGAATGCAGTAGGCACAGGGTGATGCAGATTGCAGGTGTTGGGTAACTTCTTGAAGCCAGAACCCAGAGCTGCAACGCCACAAATTCGCGCCACCTGCTTTGCCAAAGAACATCACACTCTTTGATACTCTTTGACATTGACTAGACTTCCAAACCTTGGGCTCCCGCAGAGAAAGGCAACAGCGTCAATCGCTGGGTAGAAGATACTGGTGAGGCAACAGATACTGGTGAGGCAACAGATACATGCCCTTGTCAAAATGATGATTCAGCACAAAACCTCCAGATCTTTTAGTCTTGTGGCGCGCGCCCCCCCCGAGCATAAAGTAGTCAGCCTTGCGCAAACCTAGTTTCACTTGTTCTTTTGTGAGGAGCTTTCTTGCAGCCTGCGTTCGCTCTCCAGTGACGAAACCATGACAATTAGGCAAGTATGAAATATCTATAGAACCCATTTGGCACCTGCGGGTGGTTCAAGTCGAAAAGCCACTTGGATGACAATTGGTCGAAGTTCACAAAGCTCAAAGCAACTCAAGCTTCAGGCATGTGAAAGAGGCTGTGATTGGGGGGCATTTTGCAGGGCCTGGAGAATGATGGCTTCTCACAGGCTGCCTTTCTATGACTGGATGGGGGGGTGGCAGTTCATCTCAGGGAATCGACCGTAATCGAGTGCTACAGAGAGGAAAAGTAGAGCGGAGACCTGAGCATTCAAGTGGCCGAGCTGCAAGCAAGTGTTGCATTTTTTCAGGCTTTTGCTTAGGGAAGAAAGACATCAGGGACACGATACTTTCGACAGCAGGGCAGCCCTTCAACCTCAAGCGTTTTCTGGTGCAGATGAGGTTTGACTGCTTTGAGAGCTGCATCTCCAGGCCTGGCTAGAGCAAGTGGCCCTTCAGCCAGCCAGCTGCAGAGCCCGGACCTCCGAGTTTGGTTTCCGACCTTTGCAGATTGATGATCAAAGTAACTTGTTGAACTTGTTTTCACTGTCTTTGCTGGAGGGACTTCAGTGAAGGGTTTTCCGGTGGTTTAGTTTCAGAAGAAAGAAACCGTGGATTCAACATGTACAGTAATCCGAAGGTAATATAGTTCACAAAGTTGTAAATCCGGATGTGGAAAATGGTAAGTATTACATAAATTAAAAAATATATATATTTTTGTCGAAGGCAGTTGCATTTGGAAGATCCGTTTGCTTTCTTAAACATGTTCATCACCTTTGTTGGACCATGAGAGCAACAGAGGTTAAGCTCTGTCTTTTAGCCCCAGGTTGGTCGCGCTTGCCTGCGGCTGCTGCTTTGCCTCATCAGGAATCCCATCGGGATTGAAAGCATCGCCCCCCTTCGGAGCACTTGTCTCCTGCTTTTGGGCCCCAAAGTGACGCCAGTGGTGCAGTCCTTGGGACATGCAGAGGCCCTGAGAATTTTCACCTGCGGTACGCCTGCGGCCCGGGGCCAGGCATTGTGAAGCGACCTGGCTGGAGGAGGATGTGCTGATTGCATATGGCTTGTTCTGGCCCCAAGTGATTTCACTCTCTCGGTGTGAAGACAGAATTGTAGATTCGAGTGGTGAAATGATTCTTGCTTTTTGTTTTTGATTTCTGAGCTGATGTTGTGTTGCAGAAAACTGTTTTGCCAATCCACATCCGTTGTCCAACAGCGCTGAGGTCCGACTCGCCGAATCTTCAGGTGGGTCAACCAGCGAGACGAGTCGCCCATCTTCTGTGTCCAGAAACCTGGCCACGCCAAGTCTTCGGCTCTTTTTGGGGAATTAATATTCAGTTTTGGATTTGGAGGCCGCTGGTACATGAAACTTGAAGCACAGGACACGCCCGTGCACTTGACCTGTTTTATCAAGAAGGCTTAAGTATATTCGACACCTGCAGACTCCACTTCGCATTCGACGCTGGGAGTACAGAAGCTCTCCAGGAGCGGCTGCGGAGTGGCTGGCCAACCCACATGTGCCCTTGGAACATTTGCTGCAACAACTCGATCGATCACTCAAGGAGCCCCTAGTAGCGTCCTTGCTCCTAGTATATAGATGCCAGGCCAAAGATTTGAGGTCTCCGGCAAGTCCAGACATGTTCAGTCAGACGCCCTTACACTGCAAGCCTTACACTTTCCTTGCTGCAATGTCCGTTGGCACTGTGGTACTTTGTATGAACATTTGCACAAATCCGTCACTTGAGCTGGTGAAAGGTTGATCCAGATCTTCGCCGAAAGGCTTCGACAGGTGGAAGATGCCAATGGCTTAGACTTGCCAAAACCCTCCCAGGACGGTGGCGTTTGTTTAGAGGTTCTCAGAAGTATGAACGCGGTGGCTTTGAGAAAGTTGGCTGTAGGCTGTAGCCATCGTTGGTGCTCAAGACCTGTTTCATCGACCAAATTCGATGCCTTCATGTCTTCAACCCTCTTGTTTTTTTAGCGAGAAGGGCTCTTGAGCCCAGACCTTTTCATGGTTTCCACTGTGGGAAACGCATGTGGGACCAACACCCAGGTGCCTCATTGGTCGCAGCCAGGTCCTCATGTGGGACCTGATCCCATCAGAGTGGATGATCCTGACTCCATCTACAGGGTCCATCATGAAAAGCTGTGAACCTGACTCATCATGTTTCAGTACCGCGTGCGGCAGTCCCGGACAGCAACCGAGAAGAATCCAATCGTATACTGAAACAAGGCTAGCCACACCCGCCCGCATTGGCCTCCGATCTTCAGCGTTCGGTGATACAACCTAGTTGGTGAGGCTCTTGGGAGGGCCTATGCAGGTGCGGAACAGAAGTTGAGAAGAAGTGGAGCTGGACCCAAAGAGGTCCCCTTATTCACAGATTTCATAGGCAATGTGAACACTTGTGCCCATCTTAGATGCAAAAGGTCAACAACCCAAGTAGACTTTCGCAGCTCGGCCGGCTCAAGCCTGGCAAGAAGGGTGGTGCTCAACTCAGCAGAACTCAGCTCACAGCCCACAGCTCAGCTTCTTTCCCCAGCTTTTGCAGCCCAATAGTTTTCAGGTCGCCAGAGTCGGTGGGCCACGGCAGTAGGTGGGCCGCGCGCGGACGCCATGAGTTGGGCGGATCCGCAAGCCGGCTGCCAATGGCAGTGGAAGAGCAATTGGCTTAGACCGCTGGGAAGGGTAGCAGAAGTTTTTGTGAATGGCATGCTTGAATCATGAGAATATGTGAGAATATGATAGAATATGTGAGAAGTGTGAATGTTTGGACCGAGGACAAATGTGCAGTTTGTAAGCGGCGGCCTCAGGGGCCTCATATATTTTGAAGGTCTTTTTCATTTCTAGCTCCAATTGGCAAAAAAAAACAAGGAGAGTTTTGGTGTCAGAGACTTTTCTCCTTCGTTCTGGCACACGTGGCTGACAAGACTCAGCATCCCCACAGGGCTGATAAGACTATCCCCACCACGGGGCTGACGCTGACAAGACTGTGTAAAAACCCATCAAAGAAACGCACAATTGGTGCAAACGACCAGGCGATCACCATCACTTTAAACAAGCATTTCCTGAAAAGGGAGACTTGAGGTGGTGATTCGGATTCGTGTCTCAGAAAGAGAAGTCTCCATCCAGATGTACTCAAGAGCTGAACACCTTGTTTCTCTGGGCCATGGGATTGAGCGGTGCCTCTTCTGTCCCGTTTCCATACTTGTGACAGAGGAAACCCTCTTTGTACCAAGACTCACGTGTGTCGCTTCCTGTGGAGGACGATCCGCCTCGCAAGAGCCAAGGCATCACGCCGCGACCGGACCCTGTGGTATCGCCGAAGGCGTCGGTCATGTCGGGCAGGGGGGGGAGTGGTGAAGACGAAACGAATCAGTTTGTTCTCGTTTCGTGGGACGTGCGACGGACTTCAGTGTTTCAGGGACCTTTGCATGCTCTAACCTTGCAGTTTACATGGGGTGATTCCCATTGACTGGCCAGCATGCATGTGGCAAGGCACCAAGGACGGTCGTCGGTTCTTCGGCATCTTTGAGAATCCCAGACTCGGTTCATTCAATTCATTCTTCCTAAGTCAAGCGACTTGGCGCCTGGGTCTCGAAGTGTGTGCAAGATTTTGGTCGGAATCTCATCTTTGGAGTGATTGGAGCGACGGTTGGAAAACCTTTGCTCCGCCTTCCTTGACGTCTTCACCGCTGTAGTCAGTCCAACTCTTTGCAAGCCTGGAGAGAGCTTCTTGGAGCCTGTTTGAGCTTGCTTGATTGGGACCTGCTTTGTGTTTGAGGCGTCACATTCCGCATGGTCCCAGTCGCCAGAACCAACACCTCCCTCTCCTCAAAGGCGCGCCAAAATGGGGCTGGGTAGGTGTGGGTCGACCCCCACTCATGGACCCCATGTTCAATGATGGGACTGCGAATAGTGCGAACCTGTTCGAGGTCTGAAAGGCGACTGTAAAGTGCTATTGGCGTCACTGCGAGTTTGGGGAAATGGCACATGTTCAGGCCATCGCTACTAGGGTGGAGGCCATTGCTAGGTTGGAGGCCATCGCTATTAGAAAAAAAACAAGAAACGAACATATGTTTCTGTATTTTATATAATGTTTTTAGTCCGTGTGGATTTTACCACCTACACTGATCTGGGTCCTGGGCTGCAAAGCATGTCCTTGGCCTTGGCCAAGCTGAGGCAATTCATGATCTTTACATGTGCGCAAACAAGAGCTTTGTAAGAAACTTGGAGTGAGTTATCCTTGTTAAGCTGGCTGGAGGGACGCTTGGAAAATCATTCTGTTGGCTACAGGGAGAGAAAAGTCCCATCCTGGTCCAAGCCCGCGCTTCCCAGACAGTTCGCACGCAACTGCGCAGGAGCCAACCTCCCAGCCCGGCGGTGCGCTTCACGAAGATGAAGTCCAACATCTCTGACAAGTCTGAGGTGGGGTTTGATGGCACAGAGGGTCCATGCAGGGCCCCAGATGGTTGGAGGGCGCCAGAATGGATCCTTGGGGAGTCACTTGCGACCCAAGAGTTTGCAAGATTAGCGAGGATGGTTTGCAGGATTTGAAGGCATCTCGGTTCATAACCCCAATCTAAAGGTGTTTGACCGGAAAAGCCAAGAGAGGCTTGCCGCTTGAGCGAGCTTCAGAGCTGAATCCTGTCGGAGTTTCACACAGACCCTGCTGCTCACGGTGTGATTCTTGGGGCGTTTCACACAGTCCCGTACTCTGCTAGGAACATGGACGCTACTAGGAACAAAGGGCATCGCTACTAGGAGCAAGGACGCTACTAGGGGCTCCTGGCCTTACTACTAGGAGCAAGAAGCTTCTAGTAAAAAGGGCCCAGGGCATCGCTACTCTGATTTGTTTCGGACAGAGAGGTGTTCCACGCTCCCCGGTCTTGATCCATTTACCTTCCGCCAGAACTCCATTCGGGACAAGCATGCCCCGGTGTGTACGACGAGCTTCAGCCGAAAGAGCGCTTTTATGGCCAAGCCGATTGTCCCTTCCGGACGTCGCCACTTGGCGACCAGAGATCCAGGAGTTGGAATGCAAGAGATCCACGATTCGATCCCCATTCGAGGTCTTATTCCAGAACTGATTTGTGCTCATGTTTTTTGGGTATTTGCTATTTGATTCAAGTAATCTAACGATTCTCAGCCACTTAGTGGCCAAGAGTTAGAGTGACACGTGCGTCACGTGAGCCAACTTTGTCAGGTAACAGCCTTAGAGAAGGCCGAGAGCAGCGAAGCGAAGAGAGGGCGAAGAAAAAGAAACTTCCAAATGGCTTTGCCTTGGCCCCTTGGCTGAGTAGCATGGGGATCTGGATTGGAAGTTAGGGGGGCTTCACAGGGACCAAAAGGTCTTGAAGTTTCTGAACCCACGGGCAAGGACTAGGTCACATTCAGGAGAGTATCTCGTTGAATCGCTTTGGGAGAAGGGGAATATGAAGCGAGAGGCCACATTGCTATGGCTCAAGAACAAACACGTACTTTTTGGCCATATCCCCATGATTGCGGCACAGCAGAGAAACTGTTCTGACTCCGGCATCAACGACACCTGTTATGGAGTCTCCGGTGCTAGAATAAGGGATGGGGGCATTTTCAGCTGCTCACTGATTTCTGCAGGATGAACATGGATGAACGTCTGTCCTCAGTTTTCACCAGGTGAAATCGCTCTGACTGAGGACACAGCAGCAGCATCTGGCCGGGTAGGCCGTGGACGGCGAATCTCCCAGCTACCCGCAGAGCCACCGGCAGAGGCGAGATGGCTCGGGAGTTGGTGACGTGAGAACCATCTCATGTTCTGAGAGCAGCAGGTCATTCTTTTGAAGAGGTTTCCATAGGAATTGCTTACACATAGGAAACAGGGGCGTGCAATTTCTGGCAGACATCGGGCAGTTGAACATGGAGGCATTTTGTTTGAGGCCACAATGCCAAGTTTGAATAGCTCTTAATGGGCTGAATGTTTGAATAGTTCTGAAAAACGACTCAAATCCGACGTCTTCCAAAGAGTGGATGTGTGGAACTGAACTCTCCTGGCCACCGCAGGAACAGTATAGCCGCTGGACGCGGGCACGGTTGTGGCTGTTTCCGATGGTTCGCCACAAGTGCGCCGATGGTTCGTGGGGTGGGGCCCGGCCAATCCGCCGGGGATACTCCTCTCGCTCGGGATCTGCCATGGTCACAACGGTTGATGGTGACCGGGTCACTGGGTGAATTCAAGGCTTCTGTGTGCGAAAAGGCAGTGGTTTTGCACAGAGATTGCGAAATGCCTTAGAAAGCCAAACTTGGCGTCTGTCTGCAGCTGCGTGGAACTTCGATGAACCTGCAACCACGCAAGGAGCAAAACTGAGAAAAGTGTTCAAAGTTCGTCTTCCAAACAGGTACTGTACTAGGAGATTGTTATCAGTCGCCCAACTTTCTGAACTCAGTCCATGAGAGGTACTTCAACTTTCTCTCTGCGGCGCTGATCCTTTCCAATGCCTTCTTCATGGGCTCAGAGACCGCATGGATCACCTGCTCTGGTGATGCGGAAGGGCTGCCCGGCAAAGTGCGTGCTTGGCACTCCATGCATCGCAAGGTCCCGGAAGGTCCTTGAGGTCGAAGTGTAGCAGATCCGCAGCCAGCTGAAGGTTTTGACTGTGAATGTTGTCTTACCAGACATGGTGGCCCGACTGAGGATTGGATGGTACATTACCAATGTATGTTTCACCCAGATATTTCTCGTCGAGTTATTGGTGCGTTGGTTTGTTGAAGGCAGGGTCGGCAGGCTTCAATTGGCTATTGGAATCAGGTCGTCTTTGAGAAAGGAACATTGATGTGCTGTTTCTGCGCCAACACGTTTGGCACGTAGTTCCATCTCATCCATTCTTCACTGCTTTGCAGGTCGCTATTTCTGGGTAGATTTATGGAATGTCTTTGACGCTAGCCTTGTGCTTTTCTCTTTAATCGATGAGCCTTGGCAGCATGCTTCACCACAGGCATCTGCGGCATCTGCATGCTTTGGGGGGGAAAGACGACCAAGTTTGTGCAGGATTCGTTTGGGGTCGAAGCACTTTGTCCAAGAAAATACGATGACATGTAGGGATGGACGCAAACGGCAAAATATTGATGTACTTCACAAGGCAGTCAACATCCCAACAGGTGCAGGGTGGCCATGTACTGTAGCTTGATCTGATGCATGGACCATGCAGCTAGAGTCACTCCAGGAATATAGTGAATATATATAGGTGCTTTGTTGGAACCTCCAAACCCCTCACCCCAAAACAAAGACCTTGCTTCGACATGCTTCGACATCCGCCCTTTTTGAAGCGGACTTTCGGTGATTTTCCGTCTCAGGACTTTGTGCTCACGTTCCTGGTTGCCTCTGACCAATCAGCCACCGTTCTCTTAGCGCTGAGGTGGGATGGAGGAATCAGACGATTTTTGTGGCTGAAGTGCTCTGTCTGGATGTGTTGATTTTGAGGATGACAAGCGAAGTGAAGGTTTGACATGGGTACACTCACCAAGCAAAAAAAAATTGCTACTCACCAAATTCCGTTGGGAAACAGCTAGTTTGAGCATCCCACATGAACATTGAAGCTATTGCCTGTCTCCGACTTTACAGTTGATTAATGTTGATTATATATCCCAGCTTCTGGGAAGAAAATCTAGTGACCCAGGTCTTGCAAACGTGGCCTGCACAGGTTTGCTCGCATGCTAAGATTTGTGAGAGTTCTACGACTTCTTCGTCTCTTCAAAGGCCTTTGGTACCTGGTTGAAGGCACCTTGGAAGACAGAGTGAGTGCCTTGAGGTTTGTGAGGTTTGTTGAGACTTGGCAGGTCTTGGATGGTTCAGGTTGCACCTCTCTCTGGTTCACGTTTCTGTAGCTGGTGGTTGGGAGGGAGGTACGGAGCCGGGGTAAGTTCTCCCTTGAATAGGAAGCCAAGGAGCTACAAGGAGTTCCCTAAGCACTTGCTAGGATTCTGTAGCTGGTAGTGGTATTTCCCTCCCCTCAAACACACACACTTCGAACTTGGGTTTTCAGTTACACTCAGTTGCCACGGTGGGAAGTAAGGTGAGGGAACGGAAAGGCGCATAAGTCCGCAGAACGGTATGGTTGAACAAA